TCACTGAGTAAAAAGTGGTGGAGAATGACGCTGGCAGCGCTACACCTACAGCTGTTAAAGTGGTCCAATAATTCATCCATCTGTGTTTTCAAAAACACGTCTTTGTGTCCTGAAAGTCTGAGAACGACTCGATCCAGAGCTCAAACGATGACGCTGTCCCACAGTTTAGTGCCACAGACTTACACTTGTAGTTTAAACTACTACAAACAAACTGAAGTAATTACCAGCCTCTACAACACACTGATGTCAGTGTCATTTCCCCATCTCTTTTGCAAGGGAGTGAAAGCGGGAAACATCCTGCTGACGGAGCCTGGTCAGGTCAAACTGGCGGACTTTGGTTCTGGCCTCCATCGTGGCTCCGGCCAACTCCTTCGTGGGGACTCCCTACTGGTGAGCTAAAACTAAAACCCGCTCTCTTCTTCTTTACTCCTTTATCTGGTTTAAAGACGTTGAGCATCATTCCTCCTCTTTCTAAATTTAATCTAACACTCAAGGAAGCTGCTCTGGTAACATGAATGCTCTTCTTGTGTCAGGATGGCTCCGGAGGTGATCTTAGCCATGGATGAAGGCCAGTATGACGGCAAGGTGGATGTCTGGTCGCTGGGCATCACCTGCATAGAGCTGGGTATGAGCTGCAGTTTCTTTCTATCATATGTGTGTGAATCCAGACTGGAACAAACCCTGACTCTGTGCTCTGTCTCTCCACAGCTGAGAGGAAGCCCCCGCTCTTCAATATGAATGCTATGAGTGCCTTATATCACATCGCTCAGAATGAAAGCCCCATCCTCCAGTCCAACAACACTGGTGAGAGCGTCTTTTTCTCTTCTCAGCTCCTCGTTGAAGAGACAGAGCTTCTGACTCACCTTGAGATAAACTGTTTTCTCATTATTTACTTTACCTTTACTCAATGGGAGTATTTTTACACTGTGGTTTTGCTATTTAAGATCAGAGGCCGGTTTTCACAAAGATAAACTTTGACCGTGTCTGAGATGAAACAAAACAGTCAGACTTCTCTGAATTCATCTGTTGCACAAAGCAGTTCAGTAAGACTGTGGTACAATGACTTCTGGGTAAAATAAAGAACATGGCCAGCCCAGCTTTAGGAGAATCAACAGCCACAAGGACTTTTAGTTGATAGAGTTGAAGAGTGAAACAATAAAAAATAAAAATCTGATTTGGAAAATCCCTGCGGTCTCTAAAACGTCTTTCCCTTCTCTTTGCTGAAGTTACGAGCCGTGTTTCCTGTTCTTTGCCGTTCGGAAGTCAGTGCAGGTGTCATTGATTTGACCATGGTAACTTTGGTCTTAAGCCTGAGTTAGCTCTGTCTGTCTCTCTCTCTCTCTGCCGTGCAGGCAGAGGTCAAGCTAAGCTAACAGGCTAGGCTATGAAAAAATATGGAAACTTTGACTGATTCATTTGTTTTCTCTGCATGACAGACTTCTTCAAGCTCTTAAAATAAAGTGTTTCTACATTTCAACCGGATGAATCGGATATTTTTATTTCATCACTGAGTACAAAAGTGGTGGAGAATGACGCTGGCAGCGCTACACCTACAGCTGTTAAAGTGGTCCAATAATTCATCCATCTGTGTTTTCAAAAACACGTCTTTGTGTCCTGAAAGTCTGAGAACGACTCGATCCAGAGCTCAAACGATGACGCTGTCCCACAGTTTAGTGCCACAGACTTACACTTGTAGTTTAAACTACTACAAACAAACTGAAGTAATTACCAGCCTCTACAACACACTGATGTCAGTGTCATTTCCCCATCTCTTTTGCAGGGATGTGAAAGCGGGAAACATCCTGCTGACGGAGCCTGGTCAGGTCAAACTGGGGGACTTTGGTTCTGCCTCCATCGTGGCTCCGGCCAACTCCTTCGTGGGGACTCCCTACTGGTGAGCTAAAACTAAAACCCGCTCTCTTCTTCTTTACTCCTTTATCTTGGTTAAAGACGTTTGAGGCATCATTCCTCCTCTTTCTAAATTTAATCTAACACTCAAGGAAGCTGCTCTGGTAACATGAATGCTCTGTCTTGTGTCAGGATGGCTCCGGAGGTGATCTTAGCCATGGATGAAGGCCAGTATGACGGCAAGGTGGATGTCTGGTCGCTGGGCATCACCTGCATAGAGCTGGGTATGAGCTGCAGTTTCTTTCTTACATATGTGTGTGAATCCAGACTGGAACAAACCCTGACTCTGTGCTCTGTCTCTCCACAGCTGAGAGGAAGCCCCCGCTCTTCAATATGAATGCTATGAGTGCCTTATATCACATCGCTCAGAATGAAAGCCCCATCCTCCAGTCCAACCACTGGTGAGAGCGTCTTTTTCTCTCTTCAGCTCCTCGTTTGAAGAGACAGAGCTTCTGACTCACCTTGAGATAAACTGTTTTCTCATTATTTACTTTACCTTTTACTCAATGGAGTATTTTTACACTGTGGTTTTGCTATTTAAGATCAGAGGCCGGTTTCACAAAGATAAACTTTGACCGTGTCTGAGATGAAACAAACAGTCAGACTTCTCTGAATTCATCTGTTGCACAAAGCAGTTCAGTAAGACTGTGGTACAATGACTTCTGGGTAAATAAAAGAAAATGGCCAGCCCCAGCTTTAGGAAGAATTCAACAGCTACAAGGACGTTTTAGTTGAAGAGTGAAACAATAAAAATAAAAATCTGATTTGGAAAGAAAGAAAAAATCCCTGCGGTCTCTAAAACGTCTTTCCCTTCTCTTTGCTGAAGTTACGAGCCGTGTTTCCTGTTCTTTGCCGTTCGGAGGGGTCAGTGCAGGTGTCATTGATTGTTACCATGGTAACTTTGGTCTTAAGCCTGAGTTAGCCTGGGGGTAAGGTGTCTATTGTTTTTTTTTTTGTCTTAAAATGAGTCAGTCTTTATTTTTGTGAAGGGTCTGACTAACAGACTGATCTACAGACCAGAGACATCTCTGTGACACCGGCCCCTGGGTTCTTCTTCCTCCACTGCTCGTGACTGAGGAAACAATATTTAATATCTTGATAACCTTGAAGTCATCTCTGTCTCGGACACTGGGCTTAAAGGACTAAATATAAAAGCATATCGGAGACCATGTTTCCTCCCCTGGTTCTCCATGAGTCATTTTATTCACTAATATGATAATCCCGTGTTTTTTCTTCAGGACTGATTCCTTCCGCAACTTTGTTGACTCTTGCCTTCAGAAGATTCCCCAGGACCGTCCTACCTCGGACGTGCTACTGAATGTGAGAACACACAGTTTGGAACTAAACCGTCTCATCATGACGTGCATGACACATTAGTGTTAACGCCTGTTTCCCTCCTCAGCATCGGTTCCTGTGCCGCGAGCGTCCGCTGACGGTGATCATGGACCTGATTGCACGAACCAAGGATGCAGTGCGAGAGCTGGACAATCTGCAGTACCGCAAGATGAAGAAGATCCTCTTCCAGGAGACCCAGCAGAACGGACCCGTGTCCGAGGGAGGGGAGGATGAGGAGGTGAGGAACGGGAGAGAGATGAAGTCTGTAACTTTGATTGATTTTATTTAGCTGTATTTGGAGCAGATTTACTGAGTGAAGTTGTGTTGCTTAAAGTTTGTGTTATACATCCATGGTCACATGTTGGAGATCTCAGATCTAGAGTCTGGATGCTCCTGTAGAAATACAGACAGAGGAACCGAGTTCCTCAAAGGGTTCCTGTTCTCTGGGGAAGGTGAGCGCAGGGAGAGAGGAAGGAGAAGAGACAGATTCTGAGACCAGAGAGAAAGGAAATGGTAGAAAGTGAAGATGCACAGGGAGGAGAAGACACTAAGGAAATGCATGATGGGAAAATGACTCAAAAAGTTGTCTGCAGATAAATCTTGTTTATTTAATCTACCTGTCTGCATACTTATGTCTATTTCTATGACTACAACAATGAGCAGGTGCAACAGGAAAAAAATCTGATGTTAAAATTCAGTGTTTTCATTTCATTCTGATGCTGATGATCCATCAGGTCAAAACACTGAGACAGTGTTCGACTCAGCCAGAGGTTCAGTCTGTGCTGTAGTCATTACACAAAACAACTAATCACACACACAGGTAATAATGAGCCTAAAGAAAAATATTGTGTGTGTGTGTGTGTGTGTGTGTCTCAGGAGGTGGAGCAGTACCTGTTGCGGACAGGTACAGTCAACAGCATGGAGAGCTCCCAGTCAGTTCCCAGTATGTCCATCTCTGCCAGTTCTCAGAGCAGCTCAGTCAACAGTCTGGCGGACGCCTCTGACGACAGCAGCAGCGAGATGGCCATGATGCAGGAGGGCGAGCACACCGTCACCTCCAACAGCTCCATCATCCACCGGCCCACGGTAAACGCACACCCAGACATGTTTTCTATGAGTGTGTGAAAGAGCTTCAGTCAGTTGGTCCATGTGGTGTCCAAGATTAAAAGAGTCTGACCTTTCTCCCCTCTTCCTCCTCCTCATCCTCATCCTCTTCCTCCTCCTCCTCATCCTGCTCCTCATCCTCCTCCTCCTCCTCTTCCTCCTCCTCAGGGTCAGGATAACATCTATGACGACCCGTACCAGCCTGAGATGGACCAACCCCAGGTTCCCTCTGCTGGACGCCGTCGAGCCTACTATCGTAACCGTGACCACTTCGCCACCATCCGAACTGCCTCCTTGGTAAGTTCACTCGCAGGGCGCCGCCATCCTCCTCCTCCTCCTCCACTCAAAGCTTCAGACACAAAGACTCACTTTTTTTTTTCTTTTTGTTTTCAACAAATCAATCTTTGTTTTCAATGCAGAGGAAAAATAAAAAACTTTATAGCTTTTCTTTCCTAAATACCCCGTCACACAGCGCTGTCACGTGTCGCTGCCAGACTCGTCTTCCCACTTCACCTTCCGAGCACAGCAGAGGTAATTCTATTTGAAGAAACCTTCCTGAAGTCTCTGCGGCGTCGTATGATCGTATTTTATTTTAGTTGACCCAGGAGAAACTTTCTCACACACACACACACACACACACACACACACACTCTCTGAAGTCTTGAGAGAGTGAGGCAGTTCTACAGTTCAAGGTTCAGTGTTATGGTATTCCCAACTTCTTTGGGTTATAATGACACCTGAGTATAATATTTACAGAACAGAAACCAGCTGGAGACTCTGAGACGTCTCTGCATTTCTTACAGACTTAAAGACTCTAACGCCTCTTTTTCCCACTGGTCAAAAAACCTGCTAAGACCCTCTAACGTCAGGCTTTTGTCGGCAGTGGAGAAGGGAACTAACAGCATTCACATCAGCTCTGGCTCCGATCAGCAGTGATCTAAACTCACCTGTCACCCGTCCCACACACTGCTGCTACACCTGAGTGAAGCTGCAGACCTGAGAGAAGTTTTAAAAACAATCACTGATCGAAGCGTCTCAGGAGCAACAACCTGTAAATGAGACGTGACAGATCTGTTATATCTGTTAGCATGGTGGCTAGCAGCTGTGTGTGTGTGTGTGTGTGTGTGTGTGTGTGTGTGTGTGTGTGTGTGTGTGTGTGTGTTGAGTTGTGGCAGCAGCCGTCTTAAAACTTGAGAGAGATCGATATGGACGAGCCGACAGGGAGTCTCTTTTCCTCTGTGCTCCTCACCTCCTATAAATATTTTATTCCCTGCACTGATCTCTTCTTCTCTTCTCAAAATCTCAACTGATTCATCACCTTTCAGGCGGCAGCCCTCAACCTGAGGTTCACACTGCTGACGTTTCACCTGCACAGATTCCAAAGCAGACATCACCTGTGGATAACACACTGTATATTACAGCAGGGGTCACGCCAGCTTACACACACCTCTGACCAGCTGACCGTTCTCCTGTTCTCCAGGTGACCCGTCAGATCCAGGAGCACGAGCAGGGCTCGGCGCTGCGGGAGCAGATGTCTGGGTACAAACGAATGAGGCGGCAGCACCAGAAGCAGCTGATGGGGCTGGAGAACAAGCTGAAGGCCGAGATGGACGAGCACCAGCTGAAGCTGGACAAGGAGCTGGAGAACCAGAGGAACAGCTTCTCCACCGAGGCCGACAAGCTGTCCAAGAAGCACCAGGCCATCCTGGAGAAAGAGGTGACGGAGACACAGCTCCACATACACACATCACACCTGTTTACCTCAGTCACTAATTACATTGTTCAGACCAATGTAATGTTCTTAAATCTAGTTTGCATGGTTTCTCTTCATAACTTAGCATCCATGTTTTTCTTTTGGTGAATTAAAGGATAAATCTTCTTTTAAATATGAAACTAAATATCTGTAAAAACCACCAGCCTCTTCCTCTAAAACGATATGTTGTCTAATGTGCAGGACGAGAGGAGAGTGAAGTCTTGTTAAGAAGCAGTGGACTCGTTCCATTCAGCCAGTATAACTTTATTATAACACCCAAAGGTGTCGAGTTTATTATGGAATCAGTGTTAAATGACTTAAACAATTGATTTGTGTTGGTGCCATTATCAGTGTCGGCATCTGTGGTTCATAAACATGACCTCTGACCTCTCTGTGTCCTCCTGCAGACGAAAGCGGCTCTGGCAGAGGAGAAGAAGTTCCAGCAGCACATCCTGGGCCAGCAGAAGAAGGAGCTGACCAGTTTACTGGAGTCACAGAAACGTCAGTACCGCCAACGCAAGGAGCAGCTGAAAGAGGTAAACCACACACTGCTGCCGCTGTCAACATTAAAAACAACACGGAGGTAGATATTCTCATATTATTTATATTTGTTGAACATTACTCAGCGTTTGTTAAACTATCCGCACTAACCAGGAGCTGAGCGAGAACCAGTCGACTCCGAAGCGGGAGAAGCAGGAGTGGCTGATCCGTCAGAAGGAGTGTCTGCAGCAGATGCAGGCGGAGGAGGAGGCCAGCCTGCTGCGGAGGCAGAGGCAGTACTACGAGCTGCAGTGTCGCCAGTACAAGAGGAAGATGCTGCTGGCTCGCCACAACCTGGAGCAGGACCTGCTGAGAGAGGTACAGCCGAGCGAGCTCACAGCTGACCTTCACCCTGAATCTCCTCAGTCCGGTCACACACTGGGTGCTTCTGTAGACCGGAGATGATGTGTAAACATGAGATATATAAGAGTGAGCAGTGTCTGTTTTTATTGTCCTAAAACACCACGGAGCGCCGAGGTTTTATCTTAGAAATATTGACGAATGTGAGTTAAATTAGTCAATTGTTCTGTAGGAAATTAGGCAAACTTACTGTGTGTGAGCGTCAACAACAAGCAACTGCATTATTTGATCTGATTCTGTTCATGAAGAAACAAAAGCTGTTTTTATTCCTCCGCCCGGCGACAGCGACATATTGTTTTCAGGTTGCACGTCTCATTCTCGTGGACACGATATCTCAGAAACGCCTTGACGGAGCTTCTTCAAATTTTGCACAAACATTCACTTGGACTCGAGGATGAACTGTTTTAGATTTTGGTGTTCAAAGGTCAAAGGTCACAGGTGTGGTGACCTCACAAAATTAATTAAATTCTGTAGGTTATAAACACAAAACTGATTTAGAGAGCGATTTGACCCGTGCAGGTAACCTTTACTGTCTCATCCTCCACCAGGACCTGAACAAGAAGCAGACCCAGAAGGACCTGGAGTGCGCCATGCTGCTGCGACACCACGAGTCCACGCAGGAGCTGGAGTTCAGGCAGCTGGGTTCGGTGCAGCGGACTCGGGCCGACCTGATCCGAACGCAGCACCAGACTGAGCTGACCAACCAGATGGAGTACAACAAGCGCCGCGAGCAAGAGCTTCGACAGAAACACGCCATGGAGGTCCGGCAGCAGCCGAAGAGCCTCAAGGTACGAAGAGACCGATCCAACCAGAACTGAAAAGAATGATCAGGTTTAGTTCTCAGATTTCTGACATTATGATCAAAGATTATTTCTCACACATCTGGAAAACCTTTTTAACTAGTCAACATTTTTAACCTGCAGCAGAATTACAGTCGGATCAACTGATAAAATGTCACAAGTTCCCAACGTTTAGTTCGAGGATAAAATATTTGAAAACATGTTGGTGTTAAACGACAGTGTGTGATCATGTCTGACTCGTTGTTCCAGTCCAAAGAGCTGCAGATCAAGCGTCAGTTCCAGGAGACCTGTAAGATCCAGACGCGTCAGTACAAAGCCCTGAGGAACCACCTGCTGGAGAGCACTCCCAAATCCGACCACAAAGCCGTCCTCAAACGCCTCAAAGAGGAGCAAACACGTAAGCTGGCCATCCTGGCCGAGCAGTACGACCACTCCATCAACGACATGCTGTCCACACAGGCTGTGAGTAAGGCAAGGAAACCTCCGCGCACCTTCCACACCTGAAAACCTGCACCTGCACCTTTTCACAGCGTCAGCGGCGCCTCAGTGCGTCCAATCAGAACGAAGCTGCTTAACACGTTTAGATAATTAAATGTCTGGACGTGAAAATAGAAAAGTGGTGACTGTCCATCACAAGTCCCAACACAGACCTTTACCATTTTATAAAAGGGAGAAAATTTGAGAAGCTGTTTTCATTCTGTTTCTTTGATAAACGTATTAATTGATTAATCAGGTATCAAACTTGATGCTGATTAATTTTCTGTCCATTGACTAATCGATTATTGTTTCAGCTCTAAACTGAAGTTTGTCCGTGTCGGCAGCTGGTAGATCCACGTGATTGATAATCTCAAAACTCACCCATATATATATATATATATATATAATATATAATATATATATAAAATAAAAATATTGGTTAAACTGATTTAGTTGGTTTTCCACTTTTTCACAACACAAACCCAATTTCTTTATCAATAGAGACGTTAATGAGTGTAAATGAAGGTTTGTGTAAATGTTAACGAGACGGCCAATTAACAAACATACACATAGAAATATGTTAATGTTTCTGTTACTGAAGGGGGGAAGAAAGTAGTGCCATCAGAGTGGTGAGAGGGGAAAGTAGTTCCAGGGATTTCTGCATCAGTCTGTTGAGGAACAAGATTTGGGGGCGTGGCCTAACAGACCCGTGCCGTACTGCTGTTTTAATCACGGCCGTCTCTTCGGCGCTCGCAGCAGATGGCGCTCTACTGATACCGAGGCTCGTCCCTGTTTGTCCCCACAGCTGCGGCTGGATGAGACCCAGGAGGCGGAGTACCAGGTGCTGCGGATGCAGCTGCAGCAGGAGCTGGAGCTGCTGAACGCCTACCAGAGCAAGATCAAGATCCACACCGACACCCAGCACGAACGAGAGGTGAAGGACCTGGAGCAGAGGGTGTCGATCCGCCGAGCGCTGCTGGAGCAGAGGGTGAGAAGTCACAACCTCGTCATTGATTGATTGATTGTGATTATTTTCTCTATAAATTGTAAGTTTAAGAAGGAATTATAATTTCCTGGAGGCCAAAGTGATTAGTGAGTCGTTTGAGTCCAAAACTCGAAGATATGATATTCCTTAAAGTGACAGAAATTAATTAATTTATTTAACCTTTATTTATTTATTCAGGTAAATCCCTTTTGAGATAGAGATCTCATTCTCAAGAGACCTGAATGTACATAAATGAACAGAGAGAAACAGCCGACAGTCTCATCAGTTCAAACAACTGCATTCTGTTTTGGGAAAAGTGGCAAATAGTGTCTGGGAAACTGACTCCAAATACAGTCTTCCCAAATTCAGACAGGTACATGAAGTGTTAGCCGATCATGTGACCAAGTTTGGTGCGTACCAACTGATCTGATCAAGAGAGACGTAAAGTCGTTGCTCAATAAGGGCTTTGTAATATTTTTGTAATTGTGTAAAAAAAAGTTGTGAATGAAAGTCTGATGTTGTGAACGTGTCCGTCAGATCGAGGAGGAGATGTTGTCTCTGCAGAACGAGCGTTCAGAGAGAATCCGGACTTTGCTGGAGCGCCAGGCTCACGAGATCGAGGCCTTCGACTCGGAGAGCATGCGGCTCGGCTTCAGCAACATGGCGCTGACCGGCATCCCGGCCGAGGCCTTCAACCAGGGCTACCCGACCCCCAGCCCCTCGTCGGGCTCCAGCGGCTGGCCGTCGCGGCCCGTCCCCCGCTCGGGGAGCCACTGGAGCCACAGCGTGCAGAACTCGGTGGCGACTCCGTCCTGGCGCAGTCAGAACCACGGCGGGGGATTCAGCCGCGCCGAGTCCATCACCTCCTCCCACGGCCTCGGCAGGGACAGCGACCTGAGCAAGAGCAGCAGGGGCCACTCCTCCTCCTCTTCCTCCCACCACCACCACCATCAGCACCACCACCATCAGCACCAGCAGCACCAGCAGCATCAGCAGCACCAGCAGCACCAGCAGCACCAGCAGCACTACCTCCCCCAGCACTACCAGCACCACCAGAGCACGCCGCAGCTGTACCGCGACAGCCACGAGCGCGACAGCCGGGAGCGCGAGCGGGCCAGGGAGTGGGTGGGAGGAGGGGGCCACTACGCCCATCACTCCCAGGGCCACCACCACCTCTCCTCCCACGCCTCCTCCCAGTCCCTGGCTCTCCTCCCACCACCACCTCCCCCTCCCCCAATCTCCCTCTCCTCCTCCTCTCCCCCCTCCTCTGCCTCCTCCTCCTCCTCGTCACAGGGAGGCTACGGAGGCGGCGGCGGCCTGAGCGTCAGGGGCCCCAGTCTGATGGCCCTCAGGAACAGCCCCCAGCCTCTGAGGAGGACGGCCTCAGGGGGGCCGGGCGGCGGCGGCGGGAGCGACGGAGGGCTCAGCCGGAGCACGTCGGTCACGTCTCACATTTCCAACGGCTCTCACCTCTCCTACTCGTGAACCGGCCGAGCTGTCTCCCTGCTCTGATCTGAGGGCCACGCCCACAGACAGACGCAGAGCCACGCCCACTTCACACAGAGAGCTTCGTTTAGTTTTTTCTGTTCAGAGCAAAAACAAACAAAACAAACACCCCGATTTTTAAAGTGTAAATTTTAAAATCTCCTTTCTTGAAGTGAAAAGAAAGAGAGAACGAGTATTAACAACCCTGAGCGTCACTGTGGGGGAGGGGGAGGGGGAGGAGTCACACAACGACAGTGAAGAAACAAAACAATCCAAAAAAAAAAGTGGTAAAATTAGAAAGTAAACAACAAAAAACTCACAACACATTGAATCTGTTGCACAGTATCGACTTTGTAGGTCAGGTGATCAGGTGATCAGGTGATCAGGTGGTCAGGTGTCGGAGCACGTGTCAGGTTGTTGGTTCTCAGTTTGTATCGAACTGAGCGACAGTTGTGGAGCTTCCACTTTGGCTTGAGGTGCTTTTAAAAAACAAAACAAAACAAAAAAAACAACCACTGTAACTTTGTAAATAACAGTAAATTGTAAACCCAGTTTTTTGATTTGTAAGTGTTTCATACGTTCAGCAGAGCGGGGGTGGGGGGGGGCACATGAGTCGAACAAGGGAAGATTTTCTTGAAAACATAATTCTTTTATTTGTAGTGATAAGATTCTGTAAATGACAGTAAAAAACACACTGCCATCTTTTTGTTGGGTCGACCTGAGACAAGTCTACCACTGCCCTTTAACCTTCTTAAAGGAACAGTCACACATTTAGGAGCCGAGCTTGTCTCAGCAAAAGTCAGAGGAGAAGGTTATTGATCAGTTTGATCCGAGTCTTTTTGCTTTTCTTTCTTTTTTTTTTTTTTTTTAGCTTGAAGCAGAAGGAAACAACAGCTTCAAACTGTCACATCTACAGGCTGAAGAAAGAGATAATGAGACTTTATAGTTTCACTAGCAGCTAACTAATGCTGCGTCCACACTACTACGCTTTCAAACCCCGAACACAGACACTTTTGGAAACGCTGCTGCTGTTACTGATTTTATATTTTAACGTCAATACGTCATTTCTCCTAGAAACTGCTCAGTGGATGTCTGTTTATAGCTGCTCCAACAAATTTAAGACGTGAGGCTGGTTGCACAAAGCACGTTTCAGTATGACACTTAAGGTTGAATTTCTCCTTAGCTGACGGAGTTACTTAAGGGAGAGACACAGAATAACTTTCCTTCCTTTAAGGGAAAACGTTGAGGCATTTGCAGCAATGAAAGAGTTTTTTACAGCATTAATATTCTCCAGTTTCCATGGAGACAGTTTGTTTGGTAGCATTAGCGCTTGTGATAGCAGTGAACATCTCAGTCGGCCAGAAGAAAGAAAGTGGAGTGATCAGCTTTAGAAGGTCGGATGAGTCGTAAACTGATCACATCTATAGAGCAAAATCAATAGATCAGTTCCTCTGGTGGAGGCTCCATCAGGTTCAGACTCTTCATTTATCACCATGAACTCAGACATGTTGAGGTTCAGATTCAATCAGAGGAACCTGAAGCTTTTCCCTTAGTTTGGTCTCTAAGGTCTGAACTGACTTTAAGGGATCTTTAAGCATCAGACTGAGGAGAAAACTTGTAAGACTTAAGTGAAAATCTGAAGGAAACTTTAAGGTTAAGGGTGTTTTGTGCAACTGTTCTTATTTTAAGGAAATGTTAAGTTGGACTTTAAGGAAAATCTTAACTTAAGGTGTTTTGTGCAGCTGGACACAGAAATCATATAAACTACATTACTGCCATTAAACTGCTGCGCTCATTAATTCACACTTTTTATCTGATGTCAGATCAGATCAAACAATCCTCTGACTTCACTTACTCCAAATCTGAATTTATCTTAATTTAGTATTTTTGGACATTTTAAGGCTTTTTATAATGAAGCCAGTGGATGTTGTTGAACACCTTTTATTATTATTAATAATAATAGTAAGTGGGTATTTTTTACACTATCAGTGACGACATGAAAACAAGATCAGTTTGAAGCTGTTGGAAAATGATTTCCTGTCACAGAGACGAGTGTTTCCTCCCTGCTGCCTTTTTTTTTTTGTGCTAAACAAGACGAACCCGATCCAGGACTCTGGACTGGATTCGATGAGATCCGTCTTTCTCACCTCGCTTGTTGAAACAGCAAATAAGAAAATCTCCAAAATGTGGGATTGTTCCTTTAAAGGGAAGCTGCCAGAGAGTGGTGTGTGTGTGGTGTGTGGTGTTGTGTGGTGTGTGTGTGTGTGTGTGTGTGTGGTGTGTGTGTGTGGTGTGTGTGTGTGTGTGTGTGTGTGGTGGTGTGTGTGTGTGTGTGTGTGTGTGTGTGTGTGTGTGTGTGTGTGTGTGTGTGTGTGTGTGCAGCGCTGACAACGTAACCTACACCTACACCTGTCTCCCCACAGTCTGTCTGCATCTGTAGATAAGATGTACATGTGCGTTAAGAGGAGTTGATCCGGTGCATGGAGCTCGTGTACAGACGACATTTGTATGAATAACATGCACACTACCTATTTATATATAAGTGCATATAAATGTAAGATACCTGTGTAAATGTAGCAGGTATACTGAAGATTGTTCACTGTCCAAACACTTTTGACTTGCATTGTACTTACCAGTGTACATAGAAGCACTAACTCTGAGACTGTGTTAGAGTAATAATAATAATAATGATTATTTTGTCACGTGAGTTAAAGCGGTTTGTACTAGATGCAGACAAATAGATGCTATCATTATTATTACTACTACTGCAGTTGGAATATTTATGTTGTTATGCTAATTTTTAAGTTTTTTTGAAATGTAATTGCCAATTTTGACCACTAGGTGGGGAATAAGCGCAATGTTACTGTGATAGAGCTATAAAAAAAAATATTAGTGTTTTTAAGGAGGACAAAAGGACTACCTTTCCCAGCATTCCTTGCCGAGGTCTCAGGGTGGGAGTCTACAGTTCTGGGCAGGGCTGCGTTCTACTTTTTATTTTTTAATTTTGAGCCAGTATTAAAATGTGGAGCGTCCACAGTCGAGCTGAGACGCATTTTCAGATTCTTTCACTACATTTGGTGCCATATGTTTTCTTTTTTTTCTTTTACATTTCACACTCCTTTACTCCTCACTGTACGAAGGACTTTCACTCAAACATTGTAACCTGCGAAATGTGGAGCCCAAAGTGTTCAATAAAAAACCTGAGGAAATAAATGATCAGAAATAAGTGATGTAAAAAAACAAACTAAGAATTAGTGAAATAATTGGGGGAAAAAATATGAAATATTATTTCTTCATTCAATTCTACAGGATAATTGGATACAAGTTTTATTTCATAACAGCATTTTTAACACTGAGGATTGTGATGGAAATTTTTCACTATTATCTGATGTTTTTACAAACCTCCAATATTTTCATTATTGATTAAAATGTGTGATTATTTTTTCAGTTAATCAATTAGTTGATTTGTCAATAAAATGCCCGAAAAATAGTGAAAACGCCTCGTTTCAGTTTGAGACATTTAGTTTTCTGACACGTTCAAGTGAAGAAACTGAAACGAGAGTTTTTGTCATTTTTGTTTAAAAAAAATAAAAAATAAAACGATTTTTCCTTTTATCAAAATACTTCCTGATTAATTTTCTCTTGATCAACTGATCATTGAAAGTGTAATTTCATGTTTTATTTCATACATTTAAAATAATACTAATAGGGCTGCAATGATCAGGCGATCAATGGACATTTTTTGTACTTGTTTGTTGATTAATCAGTCAATTATAATTTGTCATTTTTCCAGCAAAAATGGTTAAAAAAAAAAAAAGCCAAATATTCTGTGAAATAAGAGAATTTCTTGCTTTTCTTTTTTTTTTTTTTGTCTAAAATATTGATCAATTGAAAAAATAGTCGACAGTTATCAATAATGAAAATAACAGTTTCAGGCCTTTCACCACTGTTGTCAGAAATACGTTGAAAATAAGTGATGCAATAACATTTTATTATAATGAATTATTTCATATTTGACGCAGTTTATAATGTGGTTATTGATCCTTAAGTAACTCTAACAGGTTTAATATTGAACACTCTGGTTCTCCACTCTCCTCTGTTCCTATTTAACACCTCTTCATTTGGTTTTGCACAGTCCGAATGGGTAGAAAAAAAATCAAGTGGTCACTTTCTGCAGCGGCGTCTCCACAGCTGGAGAATCAATCAGGACTTCAGTAGATTTTATTTAGTTGTTTCCATCCCTGCTGCAGAGAGACGACCTGAGTGATCTGATGCTGTCTTTAGTCGTCTCGTCTACCTCATTTGAACTGATAGTGAAAGAATGTTTGGGTGGATTTAAAACAAACACATTTCTTGGCTTTTGCTAAATTTTTCTTTGTTTCCTTCATATTTGTGCAAATGTTGACGTTACGGAGACGAATCAAGTCGTCGGTGAGAAAATCAGAGTGGGAGCTGTAGAATTTCTCTCTCTCTTTTAATTTTCCCTCCGCTGATGCATCACTACAGGACATGCTGGACTTTTATCCCGTGTGGAGACGCTGAGAGACGTTCACTGATCCGTTGTTGGTGGAGGTGTTTGGTGGGAGTCTGCTGGCTGGGGGTGGATGAACTCTGCTTCTCCCCTTCCTCAAATCCAAGAGAAAATGTCTGAACCGTGAGATTTCATTTTGCCAACTTTTATCTTTTTTAAATGTTTTTTTTTTTTTTTTAAGACTTTCAGTGCTGATCATTCCTGGATTATTCTGTTGTTTTTGCCAATTAAAGCTGCACGAGGAAGATAAAGTGAAAGCTCCTCCGACAGAGACGAGTCGATGTCTCTGATGCAGTCTGTTGTCGTCGTGGCTCAGAGTCACTGATGTTTGACACTTTGGGAAATTTCCTGTTGGAGACGTTTACTGACGGAGCCGATGCTGACCGACGATTTCTGTTCTGTCATGTCAAAATTTAAGGAATTTATTTTGGGAACTTTTCATGTTTGCTGTCTTCTCCGGATTCAGTTCAGTTAGTCTCAACCTGCAACTGATGATTATTTTTATTATCAATTCATCTGCTGATCTTTTTTTTTTTTTTTTTTTTTTTTTTTTTTTTTTTTTAAGTAAATTTTTTCCCGATAAATTGTTGGAAAATAGTGAAAATGCTTGTTTAAATTTCTTTAAGCAAGAACCAGCTCAATTAATTTTCTGAGCATTAATTATCACATTATTCTGTAAGTATTTGAATAATTGAAATACCAACACTTCTCTGGCTGGTCTGTGTTTCAGATTAGTTTTTCTGTTTTTATTTTATAGAAGAAAAAATCGATTAATTGAAGAAATCATCAGCGGATTAATCAGTAATTAAGATAATCATTAGCTGCAGCCCTACATTAATCTGTTGATTGATTTTCTCCATTTTAACAAACATTTGATCCACAGTGACAGAAAATAGTGAAAAATGTCTAAAACATCCGAGGTGACGTCTCAAGTGAATCAGTTTGTTCAACCATCAGCTGAAAATATTAAAAAGATAATATTAATAGATTATTAATATACAATTTTAAATTTCACACAGAGAAAAACAGAAAAGCAGCAAGTGAATTTCCCAGAAAGCAGAGCTGTTTTTTTTTTGTTGTTTTTTTTCCTTCATTGGACGAATTAATTCCTTGTTTCTGTTTGGGTCCATCGTTTCCCTGGTGCAGTTTTTAATGTTCCCAACAAACCAAAAGAAAACACCCCCTGACTGTTGTGTTGTTTGTGGCCAGCAGGTCAAACTGACAGGAGCAGCTGTGAGGATGAGGATGAGGATGATGAGGATGATGAGGATGATGATGATGATGATGATGATGATGATGATGATGAGTCGGTGTTTGTGTGTCTGTCAGACATGAACGGTCGTGGATGGATTGAAATCTGTTTTTACAGCCGGAGGCCGAGTTTCAAATGTTCAGGTTCAATGCAAAATGTTTGGAGGAGTGTTGAAGACGAGTTGTACAGAAACGTAACAAAGTAATTTTGGAGAAATAAATGAACAAAAACAGAAGAGTCGCTTTGTCTTTATTGTTTGTTTTTTTTATTAAAAATCTCCAGGAGGTCAAACTCAAATAATTTTATTTTAAATTATAGTTGAGATCTTTTTATTTCCAAAGATATTAAATATGTCATATAAAAGACTGAATTTTGCACATTTTTCCATTTTGTTTGATTTAATTTTCCATGTGCTGCATGATAAGAATGAGCAGATAAATTATGATGTATTAAACTACATTGATCCCTTTTTCAAAGAGCAGCAGTTTATAAAGTCTAAATGAACTCCAGCTGCAACATTGAAGTGATGATTATACATCAATAATAATACATTTTAGTCTAAAACAGACCCTCCATTAATGAGCATTTTGGTACTTTAAGTAGATTTTGATACTAACAAGTAAAATATCTGAGTTCTTCCATTTAAAGATGTTACCAAATCATTAACGTTCATTCATCTTTAACTGATGACCTATTATTATAATTAAAGTCTCGACCTTCTCCATGGTTTCCTGTGTTCCCTGGTGACACTGAGCCTCCTCCTCGGAGTGAAAACACCAGGAACCTAAAAATAACTTTTCAATCTGTTTCTGGGAGAAATGATTAAAGGGGAGTGGAGCTGCATCACCTCACATCGTGACTGTAGTCAAGCTGGACACAAACAGGAAACACCAGGAACCAGGAAGTAGAGTTTGTATTCAAAATAAAAGCACAACATTTGGTTTTCAAGCGTAAAAACATTTAAAGCAAACATTCAAGACATGATGATTAATCAGCTCCTTGAATGTGAAATTAATAAGTTTTCTATGACAGTAAACTCAGCATTATTGTGCTTAAGGGACTAAAGATGGACATTTATTTGGTATTACTTCATTATTTATTTATTTGTACTTATACCCACTGTGCAATTCTAACATTACATTACAAACGTGTGCAATATTTGAGTATTTCTATCCTCTGTGCACTATTTTTTAAAACTATTTTCTAATTTATTAATTGAACAATCAATCAGTTATTGAAAAATAATTATCATATGTATTGCTAATGAAAGTAACTGTTGGTGTCAGCCTTACAGTTCAGCTATAATGTAATAATACGACCTTGCCTGAGATGTTTGAGTATTAATCACTTGAAAAACAGAACATTTTAAAACATACTGATCAAACACAATTTACTTACTAGGGGGTGCTTTTAGTTTGAAAATAAATCCACCGGAAGCGGTCATCTTATTTTGCCGCTTTCCATAAATCGGCTGGGCGGAAGTCGTCGCTCAAACCAAAATTCAACTGTCGTTTGTACAGTTTCTGAAATACGAGTGAATTGACGCCGCTGACTCGTTCAAGAAGACATAGTGGTTCCGCTAAAACCCGCCAAGAAGCTCAAAGATGGCGCAGGAAAACATTTTCCTCTTCGTTCCCAATTTAATCGGTGAGTTTTTAACGTCTTTGCCAACATGTAGCTAGCTTAGCGTTAGCAACGTACAGTAGGTTCTGTCAAGACAGTGTCAGACCAAACTCCATTCAAAAAGTGTCAAATTTAATGGACAAACAAATCAGAATTTAAGCCACATATCTATCTCTATCTGTGTTTTAAATATCTTTAATTACGAGGCTCACCAGTGGATGAAAGGACTAAAAAATGAAGCTGAATTAACTTTATTTTTCTCCAGTTTTTGCTTGGTTTATAGTGAATTATTTGACACTTGAGTTGTGATGAGGTGTAGGAACATGTAGAAAGACTGAAATGATTCAAAGGAATAATTTAATTCATGTGATGAATATAAAAATAAACATTTTCAGGTTCAAGCTTCTTGGATGTGAAGATTTTATGTTTTTTTTGTCACATGTTGTAAAGTGAAAATCACCATTTGGAAAAATCAGCAATTTTACAGATTTCACTTTGGGTTCTGGAACATGTGCTGAGCATTTTCCCTCTATATAAAACCAAAAGGCCATTTCCTGTCCTTTCTGCATTACAATTGGGCATGCAATGATTATTTATGATTGAATGATCATTTTTTAAACCAAAACTGTCAAACTTTATCTGGTTCCAGCTTCACAAATGTGAGGATTTGATGCTTTTCTTTGTAGGATAGGATGATAGGAAACTGTATCTCTGGGTTTTGACATTTTTATGACATCTCCTTGACTCTTTTCACTATTTTCTGGCTTTGTAGGAACAAACGATTAATTGACTGATTGAGAAAATGACGGACATTGTAAATAATCGATAGTTGCCATAGAAACACAATAAAAACAGAACATATTCTACATTCTCCTCAACATGACATGAGCATGTTTAAAGAAAAATATGTTCATGTATCATATGATTTTATAACCGAGAGTAAAAAAAAGACAACAGGAAATGACAGTTTGATTAAGGAGTCGTCTTCCTCTCTGTCTCTGGTCACACTTCCTGTCTGGTTCTCCCTTGTCCTCTCCTCTGTCCTCTCCTCTGTCCTCTCCTTGTCCCTGCAGGTTACGCCCGTGTGGCGTTGGCCCTGATCTCCTTCTACCTGATGCCCTGCTGTCCGTGGCCGGCGGTCTTCTGCTACCTGCTCAGCGCTCTGCTCGACGCGTTTGACGGCCACGCTGCACGAGCACTCAACCAGTGTATGTATCTGCAGGGCTCTAATCTCCACTCGAGATCAATCACCCAATCAATCAATCAATCAATTAGACTTTCTTTGTATAGAACTTTTCATACAAACAGTGCAACACAAGGTGCTTTACAGAATAAACATCTCACTCACACACACATTTACACACAGAACAATAAATGACCAAGTAAAAAGCACTAAACAATAAAAATAAGACAGTAATAACAGGAACAGAGGAAACAGTGAAGACTGGAGAACAAAGATTAAATGATAGAATACTAGAAGAGAGGAGATGTTTGGAAGTGAGTGAAACCAGAACTAAAATAAATAGGCAGAAATAAAAGTATTAGAAGGAAAATAATCCAAAAAATAATCATAGAATAAAAGGACGAAGCAGTAAAACAGCTCAAAATATATAAATAAATAAAATTCAATTAAAAGCCAGACTAAAAAGGTTTTTTTTTTTACCTGCTGACAACTTTATTTAACAAGCAGCTTCCTGTTGCATAAAGACCTGAACAGCGTCTCCAGATCACATGACCCTGACTCTCTGATGTTTCCCATCAGCCACCAAGTTCGGAGCCATGATGGACATGTTGACAGACCGCTGTGCCACCATGTGTCTGCTGGTGAACCTGTCCCTGCTCTACCCCTCCTTCACCTTTCTGTTCCAGCTCAGCATGTGTCTGGACATCGCCAGCCACTGGCTGCACCTGCACAGGTGAGTCATCAGCACCTTTTTTTTTTCCATGTGAGCGTCATGTCACGTTCACCTGAACTCAAGGATGAACTGATTAGATTTTGGTGGCTAAGGTCAAAGGTCAAGGTCAGTGTGACCTCAGAAAACACTCTTTAGCCATTACTCAGGACCTCACAGCAATTATTTCACACAAATGGTTCATATTTTATACAACTCTGGATAAACAGATGTAACCTGGAACTAGTCTGAGTGGCGGAGGGATACGACCACGAGGAGGTGATTCTAGTTTCATCTTTCTTCATGTCGTCTTCCATCTTCAGCGTCTCTTCTCCGCACAGATATAAATCCCTGTCAGGTCGGACTCACTGAGCTGCTGCTGCTTCCTCATCACTTTTCTTTCTTCTTCTCCCTCAGCTCCACGATAAAAGGATCAGCCAGTCACAAGACCATCGACCTCTCCGGCAACCCCGTCCTCCGGATCTACTACACCTCCAAGGTCAGGAGCTCAGTCCGTCTCCGCTCACAGAGACAGGAAGCTGATGGTTTATGATCTAGAACCTGTGTTGATGTCAAACTCAGACTGACTCTGTTTTTGTCTCGTGCAGCCGGTGCTGTTTGTGATGTGCGCTGGGAACGAACTCTTCTTCTGTCTGCTCTACCTTCTTCATCACATCCCAGAACCTGCTGGTAAGACCTTCCTCTTCCTCTTCCTCTTCCTCTTCCTCTTCCTCTTCCTGCTCAGCTGCGATTAACACGTCAGAGTTTGGGTTAACAGCCACAGATACAGTCACAGGAACATGAGGTTTTCACCATGTTTTCCAGTTTTCCTATTAAGTGTCCAGTAAATAATCAAATCTTTATCTTCAGTTTTTATTCAGAGTGTTTCATATAGTGCTCGGGGTCTGTTCAGGTATAAATCAGAATAAAACACAGAAGAAGAAGAAAATATGGAGCTTTAAGTCTGAATATAGATCGTCTGTATTTTATCTATTATCTATTAGTTACTGCTAATAAATAACTTTTAAACTACATTATATTACAAATTAAATGTTGGCAAAACATTTATATGTAATATGTGAATTTGCACCATCAACCAAAGATTTACTGTCATCCGCCATGTTTCTGCGTGTGTGACGTCAACAACTCTCGCAGACTTTCCCACTTGTTGTTCCGACTTGAGGGAATGTTCACGTGAAGCTTTTACAGTCGGAAACTCATTTTTCCGATTATTCCGACTCCACATGAACGCGGCGTCAGACACTGAGGAACCTTTAAAACAGCAATAGTTGCAGTATTTATGTGCAGTATATGAACGGGTAATAACTGGATTAATAACCTATAACGCAGCTGTAAGCAGTTCTAAGTGTTAACTGACTCCTCCTGCTGTATAAACAGATAAGTAGTAAAACACAGCTGTAATAATATAAAACATGTAGCAGATACTGAACATTAATAAACAGTTATGAACGACATCATACTCTGTTAGAACCTGTTTAATAAGGTTAAATGATGAGGTTGAATGTGACGTCTGTGCTTCCTGCTGCAGCCTGGCTCTACTGGCTTCAGGGACTCTGCGGGACCATCTGCCTGCTGAAGTCCGGCATCAGCCTCCTGCACCTCATCACCGCCTCCCAGAACATGGCCGCCATGGACGCCGCCGAGCGAGAGAAGAAGCAGTGAGGAGGTCGGAGAGTCCAGCGACAACAAATCCATCATCACAGGTTTTTATTTATTCAGATTCTCTAGAGGGGAACAGGAGGCTGCGTGGACTGAGGCGACTTTAAAAAGACGTGGAAACGATTTTTTCTTTTCTTTTTTCTTTTTTTATGACCAAATATGAATCATAAGAAATTCCAACTCCAGGCAGGTGAGAGGCTGAAAGGTCAAAGACAAAACAACAGATTCCAGTTTTCTCTGCTCTGATCCATTTTTACAAACAAACAGTGAAGATGTGGTGATTTACACTGTGATATCTGTGGTTTTACTTCACCTCAGAATCTGTATATCACAATATAAACTCATACCGTCACATTTTATCCATATCATTAGATGGTGATATTTCTGGCCCCGGTTTGTTCCTCCCCTCAGCTGTGATCACACCTCAGTCACACACATTTGTCCATATTAAATTTATTTTGGAGCTCTGATCCGTTAATTGAAACACTAGTCAGCGGATTAATCAATAATGAGAATTAAATGCAGCCGTAGTTATTTAATGTTGGAGCTGAATGATGCAGCTTCTCAGATGGGAGGATTTCCTGCTTTTTGCTGTTTGATAGATTAGAAACAGATTATAGATTTAATATTGTAAATAATATAGATTTAATATGCTGTTTGATTGTTGGTGACATTCGACTTTGGAAACTCCTGCTGGGCATTATTCACTATTTCCTTTCGTTTTATTGACCAAAATATTGATTGATTGATCCGAAAAGTAACTAATGATGAAAATAATCCAATATTTGTCATTTCCAGCTTCATTTGCTTGAATGAAATGATTTAAATTTCTTATTTTTATTGGGTTTTTTTCTATATGTTTTGATTGTCGTGTTTTTTTTTCTTCTGAAAATTCCTTCAACACAGTGGAAACTAGTTGAACGACCTTTTTGGTTCATTTATCTTCTTCACTCTGTGACTTTAATGTGAAGATGATGCAGAGAAACAAACTGGAGCCAGAACAACTTCATGATCTGAGTTTCTTTCCTCCCGAGCAGATCTTTGTTCTGTGGATCATTTTAATCCTGCGGCTCCTGAAACAATTAATATCAGATTAATATTCACTGTTTGTTTGTGAAACTCGCCGTCGAGCTCAGAGACGGTGACAAACACCTCACTGTGTCGGCGCCGCCTCATTTCCCTTCACATCATTCTCATTGTGTCTGACAGTTAAAGCTCCGTCACTCACAGTTTCCTTCCATAGTCTGACATCCATCTGGTGTCTGAACACGACGCTTTAAAAAGACTAAATATCACATTTATTCAGAAATGTATCAATGCAAAAATATCACTGATAAATATTATAGTATATATATATATACTGTATATAGTCTAGTTCATACTGGTAACCAGAACAACCAGTATGAAGAAGAAGAAGATGAAATGCAGATTGACAGCTGACACATTCTCTCTGAGCTGCTGTGAAGCTGCTTCTCTTCATGGCGTCATTAATGGTCGATAAGTCTTTGATTAATGTTTTATTGATCAGTTATAAACCACTAATGCAAAACATTTGACCTGTAGAAAATTCACCAGAAACTATTTTTGAGCAGGAAAAATGCAAATAAAACAAATGTCACTGGTTTTCTTAATAAACTGAAGAGCAAAAAACAAAGACAAAGGAAGTATGATGCAGGATAAACACCTGGGGCCAGTTGCACAAAAACACCTTAAGTTAAGATTTTCCTTAAAGTCTGAGTTAATGTTTCCTTTTAAATAAAAACAGCTGCACAAAACACCCTTAAGTCTTCTCCTTAAGGCTTCCTTAAAATGTTCACTTAAGTATTTAAGGGTTTTCGCCTTATCTTAGTCTTAAGATCCTACTGTTTCCATGGCAACAGTAGAATCCTACTGCTGTAAAATCTCTTTCATTGCTGTAAATTTCTCAACTTTTTTCCTTAACTGAGGAAACCTTTTAAGAGATTCTGTCCTTAAATAACTCCCTCAGCTAAGGAGAAATTAAATCTTAAGTGTCAGACTTAAGTGGAAAAGTTAAGGTGTTTTGTGTAACCGGCCCCTGACACAAAGTTCTCTCTCATCACTGGATCTATAAAATATTTTCTAAAACATCAGAACGTCAGAAACAGCAGCTGTTTCAGGTGGAAATAAAAAACTTGCAGGTAAAAATCCACCTTTATTCCTCATTTCTTTCGTTTTTATTGTGAATTTTGAGATTGTGTCCCTGAAGTGTGCGACACAGACCAACAGCTGATGCCCCGCAGACTTTCCTCTGGAGGTAAAAGCTCTTTGTTCCATTAACACAGCACTTCACAGGGAGCGAGTTCACGCTTTAATATCCTTCAGTGACCTCCGAGCCGCTTTTCTCACCGTTCAGTTGTTGTGATTCCTGCGAGTGTGTTTGGGACGTTGTTCTTTATTTGTGGTAGAGGAGGTGTTTCTTATCGTACGTAGACAGTTAGAAAGTTATGCAGGTCATAAGTTATACCTCGCGTGGAGAGCACCAAGTATTATCGTTTGTGGTTTTTGCGTTTTTTTAACGTCACTAAAGAAACGTTTGTGCTGCTGACGGAGTGTGAAGCTTCGTTTCACTGCAGAACGTGTGTTAAAACTGTAGAGATTTAAATATCCGCCTCTTTGTTTATGATGAAATTTATTTCCTATAATGTATTATTCTAAAATATAAATGTACGTGAGCAGCAAAGCCAAGGCTGGTGTTATATTTAAGATATTGATTGTAGTAATTACATATTTGACCGTTATTTTTGCTTGGAGTGCAGGTGGTTTGAATTCACTGTAAAAGCAGCTGCAAAATAAAGACGATGAAAACATGAAAACAGGCTTTTGTTTTGTTTTTTACTTCCTGTTTTATGTGCAGGGTTTCTACAGGTCGAGGAGTGTTTTACACTGATGAGCCTCTTTTCACTTTCTTTTCACCCCCATGTTTAACAGCTGGAAAAGGGGGGGTTCGCTGAGTACTCACAATTACTGTGTAATTATTTCTCAATTTTATAAGTTCATTACATAAGCCATAACAGAGCTTTAACTGTTTGCTGCAGGGGTTTATTTACTTGTTTTACCTTCAAAACTCAACAGAATATGTAATTTATTCAGCAAGTGACCAAACTTTTACATTTAAGTCTTTTAAAAGTGAATTCTTTGCATTAATTATGACACATTTCTCTCCCTGACATGATAGTATATTAGCTGCTTTTAACAATAAAAAGTACTGATATTGGCTTTTAAACTAAATGTTGTGCTATCACCCAGCAAATGTAACAAATGTACATATATTGAATGTCCACATATGAAATATATGTAGAAATATGTAAAAATTACATGAAACCTATTAGAAATTGGAATTATTTCATATGACATATAAATACAAATATGTATTTTTATGTATGTATGCTTATATAATGTATACATATAGCTACATCTAAATATAGAATTTTTATATGTATGTTTTAATAAGCTCTTACTGTGGGTATTTTATATGTTATAAACCTATATCTTCATGTACCCAGAGGATGTATGTATGTGATAACAATATATCCCCTTATAGTTAACATATATGGCAACATCACTGTTGATATAAGGACATATATATCATATATTTTTTATATTATATATATATATATTCAATTATTTATTATAGATTTATATTTATTTATTTATGTATACTTAATAAACTATCCGAACTGTGCAATTCTGACACTTCAGACAAGTGCAATTTTATACTCAGTCATATATAAGTATATATTTTTATATTTGATGATTATTTTTCATCTTTACTTTTGTAATCTACTTCTTATTATATAGGTGGAAAAGGCATTAAACATTTAGTAATATAAAACAGTTTGGTGTATATTAAAAACATGCCGAATTTTAGTTCCTCTCATTAAATGGTAAAAAAGATTGTTGACCTGTTTGTAACCCCCGTTAATTTCTTGGGACAAGCTAGCCTACCTGAAATGTCAGGTGTTTTGAATGGAGTTCTGTGTGGACGTCATGTGTACTGGGGTTAGATCCAGCTGTTGCACTTGCGCGCATCGTTACCTTTAAGATGCTCGGGGATAAAGCCTTGTTTTAGCTAAACCCGACACCATTTTAGCGAAGAGAGAGTTTGGCGCGTCCGGTCAACACGGTCCGGATGACCGCAGGAGTGTTTTCAGAGGCACCGGTGGATTTTTTCTTCTCAAAGCGAAGCGGGGGAATTAACGGCGGGGCTAAATCTATAAATGTCGGATTTCATTATTTGTCGGCCTACCGAGCAGTGGCGGCGGCGGCGGGGGCGAGAGGGACGCGACGAGAGGAGAGGAGGAGACGGGGTCCACTAGGAGAGGAGGGTGCATACACAAAATACTTTCCCTTTAAAGCGGAGAGGGACAGAGGGGGTGAAGAAGAGATAAAAAAAGAAAAGGAAGAAAGACAGAGAGGGAGGGAGGGCGAGGGAGAGAGGGAGAGAGTTTGAAAAAAAGAGAAAGATGTCATCCTGTCGATTGAAACACCGAGGCGGAGCCATGGACCGCGGCCGACCAGGAGCTCTCTAGTTAGGGGACGAGCTGTACGCAACGCCGAGGCTTGGAACCCGACGCTGCGGCCTTTTCTCGGAGCTATCGCAAAATAAATGACTCCCGAACAGCTGCTGACTATGATTAGCACGTTTCGACTACTCGTCCATCTTCTGTTTAAAAATAATCTCTATTTTGCATGCAATTCACCAGATTTTATTACAGTAGACATAAGCAAATTATATTAAAAATGCACCATTAAAGCAAGCATGATACCAACCATTTTGTCGCATTTACAAAAGCATCTTGTCAGTGCCTGTTTATCGCCAACAGATATTAATTGAGAACTCATAGCAGCCTAATCACTAATAAGTGTTAAGTTGATTGAAGCTAAATATCGTCCGGTGTCATCGTATATCTCCATTAATTAACCCGGGCAGGTAGAGAGGAGCTGCCATACAGGCCTCGGGTTGTGTTTTCAGAGCAGTAGTTGGAGCATTTCTTCCCGGGCTCCGTTGCCCTCCTCCCTCCCCTCTTTGCTCCCAGCCTGGTGAGCTTTTACTCCTTCACGATGGACACCTCCTGGAGCAATTTCCTTTTTCAGGTAAGTGTTAATTGATGCTGGAGCTGCTGCTCTCTGAGGTTTGGGGTATTTTTCTGGGGGGGGGGTGGGGAGGTGGAGGAGAAAACTGGGAGGGGGGGGTGTTTGACATCTCTGCGCGGGGTTAGAGATGGATGGGGGAGGTCACAGAGGGGTCAGGGAGAAGCTGGCTCTTGGTTTGGTTCTCCACAGCAGGCAGGCGGAGGCTTGGATCCCAGGGTGGATGCTCAGACCTGGTCCCCATGTAATGTTTTGATTTGTCAGGTGGACTTTTTATTTTAATCATATGGAAGAGGACAAGGGCCACGTGTGAAATTTCTTTTAGAATTCTGACTTTAATCTAAGTCAGAGTTTCAAGTTATAATATGTAACTTTTCCACATTAAAATGTATTATAATGAGGAGACATGTTATACATTTTACAGTTAGTTGGAACAGTTAGTTCCGACCAAGTAATCTGATTGGACGAGAGGCATTCCATGAGTGCTGATACAGAGTTATAACAGCACTGGGACTTTTCACTACATGTATCACTCCGCTTCTCAGGTGTTGTATTAACGGTCGTTATCTATCTTAGATTATAACACACAAAGATGAAGATATTTTTCAACATTTGAATTAAATGATGTCTGGTCGTCAGGAGAGGGTGAAGCCTGAATACTTCAGAAACACCTGAGGTAACGTGTAGACCAGGTAGCAAGCTAGTGTGCACTGCGCAGGTCAAGAACATGTCATAATCCGTTGTTGCTTATTTAACTAATATGGCGTTCGTAGAACTGTTGTATAAACGCAATATCACACGGCCTCGTACCTGTGACCGAATCACAGCCGTGCTGATATTCAGTACAACATCACGACCTCTCGTGTGATATTGCTTAATTTGAGTTGCGTTCTTACATTATCAAGAATGTTTCCAGTAATTTGCAAATCTAGAGAAATATGTGATTTTAATATGGTAACGCTCCGTGTCATTTGGTCGCATGTTGATGACATCATATCCTCTATGATCATGTGTCAGTGTGTTTGTCTGACAGACGCTCAACAGTGACTTATCTAGTTTTAAGTCACATACACTTTTCAAACCTTGGTGGTTTTCAGCTCGTTATTTGAAGCAGATGATTTTATTCGTCGGACGTCTGGATCTGAAGTTATCAGAGAAACAAGCCGAGGAAATGTTAGACAGCTCAGACGTCCTGTCCTGTGTCACTGAAGAACGTCAGTGAATCTCTGACATTTAAAGTGAATCTGTTTTATTCAGTGTTTCTACTGGTTTTAATCCCCTGGAGTGTTTGTTCTGGAGAGGAGGACACCTCTGTGGATCATTCAGCTGCTGGTAAAAACCTGCTGAGCGTCTGTTTTGTAAGTTATCAGAAAAACAATCAGATCAAAGGTCAGCATCAATCTCAGCTTCGACTCTTGCCTGAGTCTCCGTCCTCCGAACAGCGTCGCTCAGACTCTGACTTTAAATGTAGAACTGCTTTTATTCAGTGTTTTTAACAGTTAGAATCACCGGGTCTGTTTGATTTCCTGAACCACTGACACTGAAGGAATCCAAACCGGGAGGAGCTTATGGTAGTGGTGGTAAAGACAACAACTCCCATGATACCACGCTATTTCATGATGTCACCCAACGTCGTCTTTTGTTATTGTTCTGATTGAGAGCAGAAGCTACAGACGGAGTTTAAAGTCAGAATTCTACAAAAAATAATGTTTTAAGTTTTAAAAAGACCCTTCGTTATCACTGAATATTGAGGCCCTGTATCAAAATCCAGTTTGAATACCTTCATTATTTTATCTCATGTTTTTTATCTCTAAATATTTTTTTTCAAAAACAACCCCCCAATTATAACAAAATAAAGGTTTGGTTAGAATTTTAAAAACTAAAAGAAAGTAACCAGAGTAGATAAACAGATAAACTGTGTGTTTGCTGGAGTGTTAATGAAGATGTTGTTTAACCCCGTCAGACGGCGCCGACTCAGAACCAACCGGAGACGCCTCTTCAGTCGGAGCTGCTGCCTGAGCTGACGGGCTCGGCTCAGAGTCCTCCTGCCGACCACATCGTGACGCCGCCGTCCACCGTCGACACCGCCGCCCTGAGCGAGGAGCCGCTACCTGGTGAGAGGGGGGAGGGGTCTGAAACAGCATTGAGGTATAAACCCAGCTTTATTAAAGGATCAAAAAACACAGAATATTTATTCAGGCTCAAATAAATATTTTTTGAAGATTATTTTTTGCTTCATTGGACAGTTGAAAGTAAAGAAACAGGAAACATGAGGAGAGAGAAGTATGACATGTAAAAGCCCCAACCAGGGCTGCAAGTCATGATTATTTTTCATTGTCAATTAATTGATTGATTGATTGATTGTTTAGTCCATGAAACATAAAAACGTTTCGCTTAGTCAAGATGTCAAAATGGTGACAATATTCTCAGTAACTGAAACCTGCAAATATTTGACATTTTTGCTTGAAAAATGACTGAAGTGATTATTCCTCATCAAAATAGTTACCGATCTTTTTTCAGCTGATCGATTAATTCCAGATTGAACCACAGAATTTGCGACTGTATGGGACACATCTTAACCACCAGGACGCTCGCTGATAGAGATACTTTGGAGTTTAAAAAAATGGTGAAAATATATTTGCTGATATTTGTTTTTTATGTGAAAATCTAAATCAATGGTTTGTAATAATGAAGTCGTATTAAATGAACAAAAAACACATTTTACACTGAATAAAAACAAGTCAAATAAAGAGGAAAAAAGACATGAACTCTACATATCTGCAAGCACATACGACAATATTTATATATCTGTGATAATCCAGTATTGGCTGATAATATCAGACTGACATTGATCAGGTTCTAAGGTGAAAAATAAATTTTAGTGGCTTCACAATTGTATCAGTGGAGACACAGGTTGAGACAAAGACGTGTCATTAAAATGTATCTGAGCAAAATATTTTCTTTGACTTTGTCACCAATTCACTATTTCATTCAGGTAAAATTCATTTAAACTTATTTGTTTTGGAAACGACATTAATCACTTGTCACATTTCTAGAGGCCGGAATGATTTAAAAAAAAAAAAAAAAAAGTATAACAATTTTTACAATTTACAAAACAAAGAGTATTTTAACACAGAAGGTTTAATAAAGCTGTTTGTGCCACTTTGAATCATTAATATTTTATTTTTTATGGAGGGAAACCGATGAAATATTAGTATTTATTATTCCTGAGTCATAACATGCCACTGGAAAAAACATATATTCCTTAAAAAGAGTCATTTTTGGGATCCTGATTAAGCAATTTCCTTAATCAATTATTGGATCTGTTATCAATCAATATTCGGTTAATCATTGTAAAATGACACAAAGAGAATGTTTTTCCAGATTGGCGGCGTTTTCAAACTCTTGCCATAATCTATAATTTCTACAAAATCACAAATATTTAATCTAAAATAAAATGAAAAAATTAAAGATAAAAGAAAAACATTGAATTGTCCTGCTGATTTTTGAGGGTTAAATTAAATAATGTAATTAAAAATCATCAAATGGGAAAATGACCTATGATCTTTTTTTGTTTTTCTTGTTTGGACTTTGTCACGTTTTGTCTTCCATACACAGGAACAGTTTTCTGTTCTATCAAAGTGTTTGAGTTCACGGATCATTCATTTAAATCTGACTTATTCAATTTAAGAATTAAATTTAAAGGTAAAATGTTTGATGTTGTGACCCGACAGTCAAACCGCTCACCAAGCCGAGCCGGCCCGCCCACATCTGTGCCACCTGCAACAAGGAGTTCAAGAACAGCTACAACCTGCGGCGCCACCAGTCGGTGCACACGGGCATCAAGATGAAGGACCGCGCCGCCCGCGAGAAGGAGGACGGAGCGAAGGGCGCACGGCTGGAGAAGCAGACCGTCCCTCTCTCCCTCCTCCACCTCACCCTGCCCCCACAGCCCCCTCCTCCTCCTCCTCCTCCCCCTCCCACCGTCACCGCACCGGAGACCCTCCCCCAACCGGGTCAGCACGCCAACCAGGAGAGCCAGCCGGTCTCTGTGTCCATTGCCCCGGCAACCGTAACCATGGCTGCACCGCCGCAACCCATCCAAGCAGCTGTTGTTGTTGTTGGGTCCATGGAGCAGGTGGGTTCGCCAGGAACAGAGCCAGGCTGAGTGAGATATGTATGCAGGGAGGTTAGTGCTGAGCCGGACCCTGAGTAAAGACTTCAGTTATTTATTTATTTATTTATTTATTTATTCATTCATTCATTCATTCATTCATTCAGTTTCTCTCCTGGTTTTGGTCATTCCTGTTTATTTTCTCCTGATGACACCTGCAGGTCAGGGTTTGCGCAGGTCTTGAAAAGTCTTAAAAAGCATTTAACTCAACAACAACAAACAAAGCTGCAGAAACACCAGCTGTTCTCCAGTAGTCGTCCATTTTGGTTTAAGTTTGGAACATAAACCTGGTTATTTATATCTGATTCTAACCTCTTCAGGTTTCTGATGGTGTCAGTTTGTCTTCATTATATATTTTATCTTTTCTACATTTCAGCCTGCAGACGGTCTGTGTGTGTTAAAATAAGTGAATCAGTTAAGAGCTGTTGAGAAAATATGACCTGCAGAGGTGTAATTAAAAGCATGTGACATCTTTCTTGGTGTGAGGCTTCTTCATCTGATTCTGTTTCTTTTTCTTCTTCTACTTTTTCTTTTTTCTTTTCTTTCTCATGACATCATCTCTAACGCACACATGCACAGTCACATGTTTCTCCCTCAGGTTCAGTCAGCTGCCTCGCTCTCTGTGTGGCGCTGTGTTTGTGTTCAGAGAACTCGCGTCACAAACATCTTATGTTAGGAAAATAAAACAGTGTTGATTCTCTCTGCTCTTATTTTGAAGTTTTGAACAGAGGCCGTGGTCTTTTGTCAGACGTCGGCTTCATCACCTCTCTGCTTCTGCTCCACAGAATCCAAACCCCACCCCCACCCCCAACCCCAACACTAACCAGGTGAGGAAGAACCACGCCTGTGAGGCCTGCGGGAAGGCCTTCAGAGACGTGTACCACCTCAACCGCCACCGGCTGTCCCACTCGGACGAGAAGCCCTACTCCTGCCCCATCTGCCAGCAGCGCTTCAAGAGGAAAGACAGGATGAGCTATCACGTGCGCTCGCACCAGGGCGGCGTGGAGAAACCGTACATCTGTCCGCACTGCGCCAAGGCCTTCTCCAGGTACAAACCTCATGTCATGACGTCAGGTTTCCTCTGCTGCCTCATTCAGCGACCGACTGATGAAACAATCCAGTTTATGAACGCAGCCTGGTCTGGAGATGAAATATCTGGAAGTGTTTGACTCCTGAACCTCTGTGTTTTCAGACCGGACCACCTCAACAGTCACGTTCGACAGGTGCACTCTACAGAGAGACCGTTCAAGTGCACGGTAACGTCTTCATCTGTCTGTTCAACCAATATGGGTTTGTGAATCATAAAGACATATAATGATGATGATAAAAATCTGATTTAAACTGAACCAATATAATCAATAACTCTCAACATCTTCCTGACTGTGTTATATTTAGATGAAGTTGCAGAGAAACAAATTGAAAACAAATTGAACGTAACTAATGTGCTGTCAGTTGGTTTGAAACACTTTTTTTCTTTTTAAAATTTATTCTCTTAAACAATTCTTTTGTTTTTTTCCTCGTGTTTTCCACAGACGTGCACGTCAGCGTTCGCCACACGCGACCGTCTCCGTGCTCATCTGATCCGTCACGAGGAGAAGGTGCCGTGTCACATCTGCGGGAAGCTGCTGTCCGCTGCTTACATCACCGACCACATGAGGGTCCACAACCAATCGCAGCACCACGCCTGTCACCTCTGCAACCGCAGTGAGTCGCAGCAACGTCACGAGATCAGAGTTCAGATTGTGAACTTCTGAACCCTCAGGCTTCTCTCTGGATGTCAGTGAGCCAATCAGAAGAGAGGAGGCTCTGAGCCTCCCTTCTGATTGGCTGACTGTTTTCTGAGTGATCCAATAAAAATATAGCAGATTTCAGGGGAAAAAAACTCTGAGAAACCAAATCCTGCAAGGTTTGTTGTGACATCACAAAGTTCCAGAAGTCCTGACGGCAGGTTTTAAGGCTCAGTTTCTGCCTGATCTGATTTTAAAAATATTTTAATGGAAAATGTTTAATAATTTTGTATTTTGGTATTTTTAAAACATTTATTTATTTACTTTAGGATTTCTTTTTTTTATTGGGAGATTTAAAAAAAAATAATATTTTTATTTGGGTTTTTGCCAAAATATTTTATAACTTTTCCTATTTATAAGAAAAATCAAACAGTTAAAAAAAATCTTTTTTTTCTTTCTTTTTTTGTATTGATTAAAGATCTCGTATTTGACATTGTTGCAGTGTTTTATTTTAATTTTTTACATCCATAAGAAGAGATACTGTGGAGTGTAGAGTTTTACTTAGAACAGTGTATTTTGTGCGCGGTGACATCACAAAGTTCCAGAAGTCCTGACGGCTGGTTTTAAGGCTCAGTTTCTGAATACAGGCTGTGTGCATTTCTCTGTGGACTGAGGCTTTGATACTTTCACAGTATTAATATAGAAGCTAGAGCTGATCTATAATCACACTACACATGGACACAGACCTTTAGACTAGATGGAGCTTTAACAATTTACAGCTGACAGCCAACAGGATGCTTTTATTGTGAAAAAGTGTTATAAGCAGTGCTGTAATTCAGTAAAAATATGTCTACATTAGTATGTGGATCAGTTTTAATGCTGCCGATATTAACAGATGAAGAGCTGTGGATGAGACTCGGCTGTAGTTTGTCCTTTCTTTGCTCTGCAGATGAAAAACAATATTTCTGCACTAAAACAGACAAAACACATAAAAACTAAATATATTGAGGAGGATCTGTACCTGTGTGTTACAGGCTTCACCACCCTCACCTATCTGCGTGTCCACGCTCAGAAGCACCACGGCCAGGAGTGGAAGGAGAGCGGTGGTGCGCGGGGGGGTTTCGGTGGAACGGGGGCCGGCGGGGTGCTGCTCTGCCAGCTGTGTGGGGTGCAGTGCAAGACGGCCACGCAGCTCCAGGGTCACATGGGCACCCACGCCAACCAGGGCGACCCCAGCCCCGACCCGACGAGCACGGCCCCCCTGGGCACCACCAGCGTGGCCGTCACTGTGTCCAGCGCGAGCACAGTGGGACTGCTGGTTACTGACTGCTCCAGTATCGCCCCCCAGCCTCACAGCTAGCACTGCTGGGAGGGCGAGGGGGGAAATGGGGGTGGGATGGGTGGGAATGGAGGCGGGGCAGTTGGGTAAACGGGGGCAACGGTAAACGAGGACTCATGGAGGAGAGGACGGGAAGGACAGCAGCCAAACCAGGTGAGAGAACGTTCATCTGTTTAAACATGGTCCTCTTCATTTTACTTTAAGATCTGACATCACTTCCTCTCTCCATACTGACCCTGAAGTGACCCCTCCCCTATGACACTACACTGTATGTGAGATGTAAATAAAGCTTGACGTCGCCGCCGTGACGTCACCCACAGGTTTCTGAAGCTCAGAGTGAGCTGCATCAGCGTTGCCATCTTGGCAGTGACTCCGCCCCCTAACTCCCAGCTAATCCAAAAAAGAGGAAGGGTGTTTTAAGAATGTATTTTACACAGAACAAGGACTGATTTGAATCTGAACATCTAAACTGTTTGCATGACGGCTTTTATTTTGAAATTTACATGAACTGCCTTTTGTTTTCTCTCTGCAGATTATTCCTTAACAGACTGCCACAGGTGGACACAGAGCGGGAGAACGTCTCTGCTCCTCGATGCTGCTCACGGTTTCAAAAAGATGATGAGCTCGACTCCATCAGCGGCGTCGAACAGCTGAGCGGAGGGACGCACACTTTACTGTACATGTCACATCCTGAGGAGTCGAAGCCAGGGAGCAGAGAGCGGATCAGAAACCTTCTTTTCATTCATTACGGAGGATAATTAATGTGTATTTTTATTCCTATGGCTTAACATTTAGCTGTTTCTATTTGCCATCATTTCATTGTTTTTCATTTTTAACTGACCTGCACAGCCTGTCACGGTTTTGTAAAGCTGTTGCCGTTTTTACATCTTTTATATTCCATGATTATCAGTGTTTGTTTATGATGAGGAAATTGACCTGAAGACCTCAATTAACACGACGTATCTCAGTTTCTCCCCTAATTTATTAAAGAGCAGTCTCCAGTTTGCCTTTGTCAGAGCCTTCAGAGCAGGACATGGGAACAAGTGTTTCAGCCGGGCCACCATGTACATACACTTTTCTAGAGCTGATGAAGGCAAACTCATAGTTGTTTGTGTATATTCTCCATGAACATTGAATGTGCATTAACTTCTCTGCTTCGTTATAATCTTTGTTCTTACTCTGGATGCTGATTTGTTCATTCTTGAAAAAGGTAAATTGCCATGTAATTTGTAGCTTACCTTGGTGACACATTTTTCTGTGGCTGTGCATATTGATTGTACTTGATGCATAGTGCATAGCGCCTTGTTACTACTGTATTAAAAGGCAGTAAAATGCATGTGTGGATTCAAGATGAAATGATCTTCATGGGTGTCTGAGTGGTTCTGCACTTTATCCACATCAGTGGTGGGAGGTGACTCATAATTTTGATATACTTTAATTGACTTTATACTTTGACTTTACGACATTTCAGGGGGAAATCTTGTAGTTTTTGATCCACTACATTTACAGAATCTGACAGCTTCAGTTACTAGTTACTTTTCAGATTAAAAGTTGACATAGAAAACCTGAGTTGTCTGAACAGAGATCCTCCTCTGCTGCTCCTCCTGAGGTTTCTGCCACAGTGTTTTTTTTTCCTACAGATTGTAAAAGTCCTTGAGGCAAATTTGTGCTCTGTGATATTAATTATATAAAATAAAATGACATATTGTTAAGGATTAAAGCAACAAATAGTGACATATAAACAACTGTCTACAACATAAATAGAAATGTTATAATAATAAGAATCTGATGATATATTACATGAAACTCTAGCATTACAATGACCTTTCATACAAGAGCAACTGCCCAGGGGCCCATTGGTTGCTGACCACAACGCCAACCAGCACCCTGGAGATGAAATGATTGGTTGATTAATTTAATAGATGATTAAATGGTAACAATATTAATAATTGATTAATTATTTTTTATAATTTTAAAGCAAAAATTCAATTTCCAGGTTGTCAAATGTGAATATTTGCCAGTTTTCTTCTTTGTGTTTGTGACTTGATCATATAAAACAAGACGTGAATATGTTAATATGTTATTTTTCATTGAACAATAATTATGTATTGATTATGAAAAGCTTCTTAAATGTGAATATTTGCTTGTTTTCTGAAAGTAAACTGAACATATTTGTATTTTTAACAACTGCTCAAACTAAACAAGCTGGTTGAATCTTTGAATATGTTTTTAAAAAATGAGCCATTTTTAATTCATCACTGATATTTTATACACTGAACAATCAATTGATTGTTGTTATTATTTCAATACTTTGTTTATTGGCTTTTGTTCATTTTAAATTGACAGAATAAACAGAACATTCATTAAAACTCTCTCTCCCCAAATAACACAATTTTGTAAAAATGATAAATAAAACTTAATAAACAAAACTTTAAAAATTGAGTCATACACATAGGTTGAAGCGATTATAAACAAGAATCAAAATAACTTCAGTAATATTGATTATTAAAGAAACTAATTGTCAGATGTATTGATAATGAAAATATCTGTTGGCTGCAGCCTTACAGGTTTTATATGACTGAATAATATGAATCTGCTGGAGGTTTTTTGAGTGTGACAGTTTAATAAAACAGGATTTTACTACAGAAGAGGATTAGGGCCATGTTAAAAAATAAAATTTGATTCTTGACTTCAATCTTAAAATTCTGAGATTAAAGTCAGAATTTAAAAAAAGTGTCCCTAACAACAAATGAGCAACATAAAGTAAAGCGGTGCCCCCCCCCTCTACCACTCAGGGGCCCCATGATGGAGGATGGAGGAGCCCTTATTGCTGATAATATGCAAATTTGTAATAAATAATCAAATCGTGTAGACTTGGATGATATGGACTAAACCTGGAGGTCTGGGTTGATAATCCTGCCTGGCTGATCAGTTTCTGGGTAAATGGAGCTGACATGTACTGTGGGGGTCAACAGGGCCCCCCAGGAGGTTAATCCGGCCCTGTTTGTTGTTAATACTTTTACTTTGTGAATGCAGGTTTTTGGTTTTAACTGTTTTTTTTTTTTTACACTGTGTTGTTGCTTCTTTTATGTAAGTGAAAGATCTGAGCGCTTCTTCCTCCACCTCGGGGCCGTGTGTCCTCTGGAGGTGGTCGGTCCGCAGCACCGCAGCTACCGACCGTTAGCTTTGTTTACAGCGGAGCGGAGAGCTTCGACCCTCCCCCACCCGGCTTCACCAGCTCCTCCTACTCCACGGGCTAGCCCGCTAGCTGTAGCTTACCGGTCTAAAAAGCGACCAGAAAGCCAGCCGGTCTCTATTAACAGCGAATTTAAAGGGGCCTGTTGGATGAGACTGCATTCAAAAAACACCACAGACTGCCTTTATGGGACGCTTCTGCGGCGGGGGTTACAACGCCATGGCCAGCTAGCTGCTAGCTGACGATCCGGCTGCTAGCTCCAGGAACCGGGGCAGGAGCTCCGGCGACGGGCGTCTAACTCGGCTTTTTAAAGTCTGTTTTCGTGCCGTGCCGTCGTTGGCTTAACCGTGCTCGGTTTGTACGTCGGCTGTACAAATTTATCAGGGGAATCTTTCTTTCTAAAATATGTAGGTCACTGTAAACGACCGATGGTGGTTATGTGGGTCACAGACACCAGTGCGTTAACCTGTTAGCTGGAACAGCTGGTTAGCAAGGGAGCTAGCTTTAATAACGAGGATTTTAATGAACAATTTTATGAGGAAACACAATAACGTTAATGTATTTGCTTGTGTTAGCGAGGGATTATCTGCAGTGTGAGTGGCTGAGTCTATTATCGGGTTTAACGTCCAGTTTTCATATTTTGGAGTCGTCGCTAAACGGTCGCTAGCTAGCTGGACTGTTAACCGAGCAGCTCCACTAACCAGGTGAGTGCTACACACAAAGGTAACTCATCTCGCTGGTTAAAGTGTATGAATCAGTAGTTTGTTCCGTAGCCGGGATGTGTATGTCGCCAAGCTTCAAGCTTCGGCATGTTTCAGACTTTTAACCTGTGTTATAGTAACCGAGGCTCGGTGCGACAGCAGCGGTATCACTCGGTCCCTCTGCTCCGCTCCGTCTTGGCACCGAGCTCGGTTGTTTACATCTATAGTGTTAACTCGGTCTTCCCTGTATATTCACACACAGGACAATAATGGGTCATGCTGAGTGAGTGGCCGTGTTTCCTTTGCGCCTAAGCCGGGCAGCAGCAGCTTGGTGCCGCTCAGACAAAGTGGACTGTTCCGGGGTTCGGTGGTAGGAGGATGGCATTTCACGGCGCAGGCCGGCAGACCGTCTGTGGAGACTTGTTTCCGGGCTCCGAGCTGGGCCACAAGTATTTCTGTGTCAACTCCTCCTGCGGAGCACCCTCCACGGGCCTCAGCGCCACACCGTGCCTGACCGGACCCACTGCCCCGGCCGGGACTCCTCGTCACCCGACAGCTCTCGGAGGAAGCGCCGGCGGCGGAGCAGCGGTGCCTCAGCCCTACAGCAACCCGGCCAGCGAGGTGCCCAGCCCTGCGGAGATGGAGCCGGACCGCCCCATCGGTTATGGCGCATTTGGTGTTGTGTGGTAAGAAAATAGCACTGAGGGCTCTGCCAGTGTCCTGCATGTTGTAACTATTAATAATTCATCCAGTATCAGAGGCACAGCACGGTGTTTTTGAGTGGCAGCCATGGCTCTCCTCTCATTTGTGTTGGGTCTTTAAACTTGAATCTGGAGACAGATCATCCATCACAGTGGACACCATGTCTGATTGTATAGTTTTATTATTTTATCAAAATGGCACTACTGTTTCCCAGTAAAATAAAATACATCTCTGTCTAATCAATCTGCACCTTAAACCAAGAGTTAAACTAAAAATGACAATAACAGACTCAAGGATTGTCTGCAGTTAAATGAGATTTTTCACGAGACAAGATGGCATCATCATTATCATCATCATCATCATCATCATCATCATCATCATCATCATCATCATCATCATCAGGGTTTAGGGTTCATCAGGTCCAGGTGAGGACAGATGGTGCAGTCACGTGTTTTAGGTTTTGCAGCTTTAATTTTACCATGAAAATGAAAATATAACATAAGTTTGACATGAGTGAAACAGAACACGAGGTTTGCTGTGATCACAACTTCACTTCAACTCCCTTTCAAAAAATGAAATGAATTGGATGTGTTTTCTAATAAATTGGCTAAAATGTGGAAAAATTCAATTTTAATTTCTACATCTACAAAAAAACGATTATTTTCATTAAAATGTTAGAAAAATGGTGAAAACGTCTGAGCTCAGGGTGATAACTTGAAAATGTCTTACCTTGTCTGATCAATAATCCAAACTACAAATATATTCAGATTACATCATCATATCAAAGTGAGGCATCAAATCCTCACGTGTGAGACGCTGGAACAAGCAGATGTTTGACATTCTTGTTTAAAATTAATGATTCATCACGATGAAAAGTGTTGCAAAGTAAATTTCACACTTAAAACTTTGAGCTTAAAGCTTTGAAAAATTAAATAAAATTGATGATTTGTAATAAATGGCACTAAAACACGTGGAAACACCTACAAAAAAATTCAGTTTCAATTTCTACATTTTAGGACTGTAACTAAGGATTGTTTTTATTATCTGCACATTACTTTCTCAATTGATTTAAAATGTCAGTAAACGTCCGTCACAAGTTCCAAGAGCTCAAGGTGACATCTTAAAAATGTCTTGTTTTGTCTGACCAATAATCCAACACCAAGATATATTCACTATATTACATCATCATAGCAGGTGTTTGACATTCCTGTTTAAAAGTGTTGCAGAGTAAATTTGCGTGTGCTCTGCTGCAGTTTATCTTCCAGTGTGTCAGCAGAGCTCGTCGCATGTTTTCATAATTAAAACGACCCAGTCTGTTAAAACTATGTCACCAAACTGGCCTGAGCTCTGGCAGGAGAATACCTTTCTGAACAGGAATGTGTGTGACTGTGAACGTCCCGCAGGTCGGTGACGGATCCCCGTGACGGTCGGAAGGTGGCTTTGAAGAAGATGCCTAATGTCTTCCAGAACCTGGTCTCCTGCAAGAGGGTCTTCAGGGAGCTGAGGATGCTGTGCTTCTTCAAACACGACAATGTAAATGACGGGGCGGGGGCGGGGGGGGGTTGTTTGTTGTAGATGTGGAGAGACGGAATCAGACGTTTTTATGAGGTGATGAAAACGAGCCGAGGACTAAATGTTTTTGTCTGTTTGTCTTTTTCTGTCTGAACAACAGGTCTTGTCGGCTCTGGATATTTTGCAGCCTCCGCAGATCGACTGCTTTGAGGAAATGTATCCTTGTTCATGTGAAAACACAGTCACAGCCTTCGTTTGTTTGATATCATCTCCATGTACAGCAGAGCGTTCACCCGACCTCCTCACTCATCACGTGCATTTACGTCCTCGCGCCTTCTGTCCCACTTTCTCTTCTTTAATTGTCCCTGATGTCCTCCTTTTTATTCACTTAATTTAGCTTCTCGTCTCTAAATCCAGCTCATCGCTGCAGACGTGAGCTCGGCCACTGGTGAATATTTAATGTGGAGAGTCGATGTGATTCTTTCTTTTTCATTTCCTCGGCGCCGGCGACAGTCAGAGCGGCAGCCATATTGTTTTCAGGTCGTCCGTCCGTCTCATTCTCGTGGAAACGATATCTCAGTAACGCCTTGATGGAACTTCTTCAAATTTGGCAGAAACATTCAATAGGACTCAAACTGATTAAACTGATTTAGATGTTGGAGGTCAAAGGTCAAGGTCACAGTGACCTCACAAATGACACGTTTTGCCATGTGAACGTTATGTTTCTGTAACGCGTTGAGGGAATTTCTTTAAATCTGGTAAAAACGTTCATCTAGACTCCAGGACAAACTGATTAGAATTTGGTGGCTAAAGATCAAAGTTCAAAGGTCAAGGTCAGTGTGGCCTCACAAAACACCTTTTAGCAATAACTCACTTTATTATTTCACACAAGTAGTTCGTATTTTATTAGGGATGTTGCAATCACGTTTTTTTGCCGCCAATACTTATCATCTATGAGTGAGATCGGACGATACCGATCATGTTTGTCGTGCACTGCAGATGGCGTACGTTATATCAGTCCCACATGGCCGACATGTTTTGTTTTGGCGTCCTGTCGACAGCACACGGTGCTTCTCTCAGCCGCAGACACCAGAGGATTAACCACAGGTGATCGGTCTGAAGGTGATCAGTGACTAGGAGCGTTAATGCCGATCCACTGATCACATGTTTTTAATGAGAAAAGACCGATAACGATCGGTGGCTGATCCTTATATATTATATGACTTTGGATAAACAGGGATTTAATCTGAAACTAGTCTGAGTGGCGGAGGGATACGACCACGAAGGGTAGTTTTTATGTTTTATTGACACTTGTTGTTAAGCAACTGTGTCCTTGTACTAAAAATGAGACCTGTGCTTGGAGATGCATCGTGTTCGTGTAGGCGGAGGTCAGTCCGTGTGTGTGAGAGCTTTTTTCCTTGACAGCAAACCGCCCTGCAGCTACGTGATAACAGAACTGATGCAGAGCGACCTCCACAAAGTGATCGTGTCTCCGCAGCCTCTCACCACCGACCACATCAAGGTCTTCCTCTATCAGATCCTCCGAGGTGAGCGGCTCGCACAGAGGAGTGATGGTTGATATGGCGAGCGTGAGGAGGAAAGATGTCACTCCATCTTCTGTTCTGATCAGCAACATGTGATTTTACTCTCAAAGATTCTGTGTTGATGTTTTATTCAGTGTAGAAATTTAAAATCATTTATTCAAACAGCAGAGTGTGTCCTCTGTGAATTTAATTCCTACTTTCAGCATCAGTTTCCTCGTGTATATGGTCATAAGACCAGCAGCCTGGGAGCCACGTCTGGTTTCCTGACGACCCCTCATGTTAAGAATTTAGTCTCAAATCTGTCTCAGACATCAGTTTTAATATTTTCCGTTCTCTAAAGATCTTTTTTTAATTTCCTTTTAACATTGACACAACCTGCAGAGAAAACGTCCAGCAGGTGGTTTGTAGTTTGAGGCCCTGATCCAGAGAGTGATCCAGTACGTGTGATTGTTGTTGTGTCGTTCAGGTTTGAAGTACCTGCACTCAGCCGGGATCCTGCACCGAGACATCAAACCTGGAAACCTGCTGGTCAACAGTAACTGCCTGCTCAAGGTAAAACTCTGCTCCTGCACTTTAAAAACATTTTTACTTTAAATTACATATCGTGAAACGAACTCAACCACTCAGACGACTCAATAAAAATGCATCAACGGGCATTTTCACAGTTTTAATGTCAGACTGTTGAATTCAGTCTCTGTTTTTACTCACAATATAAATCAGTAAGTGAATTATCCTGAACAAGTAGATTTGAATGTGTCTGACCTGCAGTAAAGGACTGAATTATTCCCTCAGTTTGAAATGAAAATCTCATCGTCACGTTGTCTCTGGTCAGATTTGTGATTTCGGGTTGGCCCGTGTGGAGGAGCCCGACCCGTCACGTCACATGACCCAGGAGGTGGTGACTCAGTACTACAGAGCGCCCGAGGTGCTGATGGGCTGCCGGCACTACGGCTCGGCCATCGACGTCTGGTCAGTGGGCTGCATCTTCGCGGAGCTGCTGGGACGACGGATCCTCTTCCAGGCCCAGAGCCCGATTCAGCAGGTGAGACGAGGCGACGCTTCACCTGACTGTGACTCCCACAATCCACCTGTCCAGTCATCTGTTATCTGTACCTGCTGGTTCCTTAGACGGGAATCATTTCCTCTTCAGGTTCATTATCTCAGCACGTCCAAAAAAACAGCAGCTCTGAAGGGAAAATGCCTTCTGTTATTATGAAGCAGCAAAATTTAACAGCATTGCACCATAGTGAGATAAAAATACAGAAATGTGTACAGCTCCAACTAAAGGTTGACGTCACTAATGTTAAAAAGTAGTGATAAAATTACCCAGAGACCAAGCGATCTTTAATTCAACCTCTAATCCAGGTTTAATTTATCTTGATTTAAAACAGAAAACCAGACAATGTTTGATGTTTTTGTTTAACTTAGTGAAACAGTAAAAGTCAGTTTGATTTCCATGAAATTATCGTTTCTTCTTTCTTCCGTTTTTTTGAGACACAAAAACAGCTTAATTTTCTTTGTAATATTTTTTACTTTTCATCAGGTTACCACTGAGCTCTCTTCAGAATAAAAGCTGAACCAGTTTTATAAAGCCCTATTTTGGCTTCATAAACCTGGTTCAGCTTTTATTGTGAAGGGAGCTCAGTGATGTCCATCAGTCAGGTTTATCAGGCTGTTTTGACTAAATAATAATCCAGAATACTTCCACCTGACGTTGTTTCTCTTCTCTCTCCTCCAGCTGGATCTGATCACAGACCTGCTGGGAACTCCCCCTCTGTCGGCCCTGGCGTCGGCCTGTGAAGGAGCCAGAGCCCACATCCTGAGGGGGCCGCACAAACCGGTACGTGACTGCGTGGTCTGCTCTGAATCCTCCACCAACATCAACACTCTAGTTTCTGTTCTCACACATTCTCCCACAGAAGAAACAACATGTTAACCTGTGTTATCTGTTCAGGTTTGACTCACTTCTCCAAAATAATCACTGCATCACATTCATTTTTGAATTAATAATTAATTATTAGATGTTTTTATGTTCAGCACACAGATTTTTAACCTTCTAAATTCTGCACACGTCTCCTCTCCTGCATGTCTCTTATGATTTTGAAGAGGAAATATTATATTTATATTTATAATATTTTTGGTGTCAAATCTATTTATTATCAGGATGAACCCTTTGAGATGTCTGGTCTTGTTTTCGGGGGGGGGGGGGCTCAGAAGAGCAAACGAAACTAAGCAAAACAACACAAAACAAATACAACACAACAATGGCAGAGAGGAGAAAATAAGACAATCTATCGACTTAATAACGAAAACAGAAAAGAGTTCCAACCTCAGAACAGACAGTAACAGTCACTGGAAACACTAAGAGAATAAAACATGTTTAAATGAGTCGAATGAAGAATATGTTCAGGAGACGTCGTCTTTAGAGACAGAGGAGGCTATGAAGAGCCCTGTTAGCCCTGTTAGCTCTGTTAGCTCTGTTAGTTCTGTTAGCCCTGTTAGCTCTGTTAATTCTGTTAGTCCTGTTAGTTCTGTTAGCCCTGTTAGCTCTGTTAGCTCTGTTAGCCCTGTTAGCCCTGTTAGCTCTGTTAGCCCTGTTAGCCCTGTTAGCTCTGTTAGCCCTGTTAGCCCTGTTAGCTCTGTTAGCCCTGTTAGCTCTGTGCGCTCTGTTAGCTCTGTTAGTCCTGTTAGCTCTGTTAGTCCTGTTAGCTCTGTTAGTTCTGTTAGCCCTGTTAGTTCTGTTAGCTCTGTTAGCCCTGTTAGCCCTGTTAGTCCTGTTAGCTCTGTGCGCTCTGTTAGTCCTGTTAGCTCTGTTAGTCCTGTTAGCTCTGTTAGTCCTGTTAGCTCTGTTAGTCCTGTTAGCTCTGTTAGTCCTGTTAGCTCTGTTAGCCCTGTTAGCTCTGTTAGCCCTGTTAGTTCTGTTAGTCCTGTTAGCTCTGTTAGTTCTGTTAGCTCTGTTAGCCCTGTTAGTCCTGTTAGCTCTGTTAGTTCTGTTAGTCCTGTTAGTTCTGTTAGCTCTGTTAGCCCTGTTAGCTCTGTTAGCCCTGTTAGTTCTGTTAGTCCTGTTAGCTCTGTTAGTTCTGTTAGCCCTGTTAGTTCTGTTAGCTCTCTTAGCTCTGTTTGCCCTCTTAGTTCTGTTAGCCCTGTTAGTTCTGTTAGTTCTCTTAGCCCTGTTAGCCCTGTTAGCTCTGTTAGTTCTGTTAGCCCTGTTAGCTCTGTTAGCCCTGTTAGCTCTGTTAGTTCTGTTAGCCCTGTTAGCCCTGTTAGCTCTGTTAGTTCTGTTAGCCCTGTTAGCTCTGTTAGTCCTGTTAGTTCTGTTAGCCCTGTTAGCTCTGTGCGCCTTGTTAGTTCTGTTAGCCCTGTTAGTTCTGTTAGTTCTGTTAGCCCTTTTAGCTCTGTTAGCCCTGTTAGCTCTGTTAGTTCTGTTAGCCCTGTTAGTTCTGTTAGCTCTCTTAGCTCTGTTTGCCCTCTTAGTTCTGTTAGCCCTGTTAGTTCTGTTACCTCTCTTAGCCCTGTTAGTTCTGTTAGCTCTGTTAGCCCTGTTAGTTCTGTTAGTTCTGTTAGCCCTTTTAGCTCTGTTAGCCCTGTTAGCTCTGTTAGTTCTGTTAGCCCTGTTAGCTCTGTGCGTCCTGTTAGTCCTGTTAGTTCTGTTAGCCCTGTTAGTTCTGTTAGTTCTGTTAGCCCTTTTAGCTCTGTTAGCCCTGTTAGCTCTGTTAGTTCTGTTAGCCCTGTTAGCTCTGTGCGTCCTGTTAGTCCTGTTAGTTCTGTTAGCCCTGTTAGTTCTGTTACCTCTCTTAGCCCTGTTAGTTCTGTTAGCTCTGTTAGCCCTGTAAGCTCTGTTAGTTCTGTTAGCCATGTTAGCCCTGTTCTGTTAGCCTTTGTAGTTCTGTTTGCCCTGTTAGTTCTGTTATTTCTGTTATCTCTGTTAGTTCTGTTAGCATTGTTAGTCTTGTTAGCCCTGGTAGTTCGGGTACCTCTGTTAGCTATGTTAGCCTTGTTAGTTCAGTTAGCTCCGTTAGCATTGTTAGCCCTGTTAGCTTGGTTACCTCTGTTAGTTCACCACTACTAATATTTAGTAGATTTTTGTCTCACTCTAATATTTAAGAGTTTAAGAAAGCCCT